AAGAAGAAAAAATGAATTGATAGTTTGGGGATTAAAAAAAACAGGTTGGAAAAACTTTTATGAGGATAATAAAATAGAAGGGCAAAAGACATATTATTTCTACTTCCTGTTCCTTTCTTTTTTGTTTTTCATATTTTATCTTTGTTCGGTATATTTTTATTAAATTGAAAATGTTATAAATGAATGAATAAATAAAACTCACTATATGCCCTTGGACCAATTTCTCTATCTCAGCCCAAGTTGGTACATGAATCCAATGATCGATCTCTCTCTCTCTCCCTCCCCCCCCCCCCGCCTCTCTCTCTCTCTTCAAATTTCTTCTGTATGTTTTCACTGTTCCCCAAAATATATTTTACAACATGGCTCTTTCTCAAGAATGTCTATCTATGTTTCAATGAAGTCAAAACTGGAAGATCCCACCCATGCATTGGTTTCCTTTACATCTTCACTTGGAACAATGGACTGGCTATTTTTTATTAGGAAATTAATAGGAAAGATTGAAAATGTAGAGAAGCCTTTATTTCATCTCTCACCTTATGTAATCAATATTGTTTTGTCAAGATTTTAAGGAAGTCCAGAATTTTCTTTAATTCTGTGTAATTTTTGACCCACTTTTGAAACACTGGCATGATTATATTAACAACACATTATTGCTTATGGCTATTCTGAATGTATCCTCAGATCCTCTAAATACACTCATTATTTTTCATTAACATCCAATGCATTCTTTTGATTCATGCTTATGTAAACAGCTTGGCAAACCACATCATCAACCCTGTACATCTTACCGTGATCAAAACATGCATCCAATTATTTTTATTCATTTGCTTGGAAACTTTTTTCTTTCTCTTGCCTCTGTGCTTCTAAGTCCTTTAATGTAAAACTGTTTACCTTTGGGCTTTTCCAGTTCAGAAATCTGTATAAAGTGCTGCAATTACTATTTATTTAAAGTATCTGTCATGTTATGAAAATACCTTTCATTCAGTGTAAAATACAGTAACACATATAAATTAATAACATATTGAATAAATATTAATATTTACATAAATAATAAATACTGAAATATATGAACCAGTGTACATGCATAATATAATATTATTAACATGATATGGCAAAAAATATCCTGAAACCTAATCAAAGTTGTCTGCAAAGAAGAATTCTTCTCTCATTCTGTATTTATTAAGGATTTTAGATATCTATATCTATATCTATATCTATATCTATATCTATATCTATATCTATCTATATCTATATCTATCTATCTATCTATGTATCTATGAGCTTTTTTAATTGAACATTTATTAACTCAGTTCTTAATATGAAGGCAAGTGAAAGAGCATATTTTCTTATTTAAGGTCAAACAATGAGGTAAATAGTTGTTTCAATCATTTAGTATGGCTTCTTATATGTATGCATATAGTTATGTATGTTGTGGAACTTACATGTAAATTTTAAAAAGAAACTTAGAAAAAAATAAACCCAACTTTTTAAAAACCTTACCTCACATTTCTTAGAAGACAAATTATTATACTCCAACAGGATCAGTCTTCACATTAATGATAGCTAAACATGGCAAAGGAAAACTGCAAGTTACTACATACTATTTAGGAATAATGAAATATAACCTAAAATGCATGTCATGAATATATAAATAAAAGAAATATTAACCTGACATATAATCAAGGACAAATGCATACATTATTTCTTTCATTCTCAATCCATTTAGGGATGGAACTGCTAATATCTAATCTGCCTCCCATTTGTTTCTCCTTAATATGCCCCCTTTCTTAGTATAATTTTATTCTTTTGAATATCATCTTGACTCACACATCCATGGAGTTGTTTGCTAGCAATGTAAGTAAAAAGTAAGCCAGAGAGGAAATGTGCAAGTGCACACAAGTCCTACCCTGTTTTATCAGGATTCATGATTATGGGAAATTGTTCAATCAAACCCTCTTTCAATTCCTTGCAAGCTAAATGCAAAGAGTCACTGGGGGCAGATTTTGCATGCAGGCCCAGAAGATAAAGGGTATGACTAAATATTAGGTGGAGAACTTCCCTTACAACTGGATCCCAGAATGATATACATATACACACTCAAGTGTACGTAAGCTAATAACATGTTTAACCTGTCCTGTGTATTCCATAAAGCTTTCAATGATTTCCCAATCCATCTTTTTATTTCAAGTACTTTGGCATGAGTTGTTCCTAGATCAAGAATAGGAACCTCAAACCTATGACCTAATTTGCCCACAAAAGCAAACTATTTCAAATTTGGCCAATAGACATGTTCACTGTCTGTACCACCCCCAAAGCATCAGCCATCTGAAACATTTGCAAGTGCTCTTGGGTTGGGGCCTTTCTTCTAAATAAGAAGTATTTCTCCTTTAGGAAACATAAGGATAAATCTATGTTATTTTATGCATGCCAACCAAAATAGGCATCTAGCAGAGCATTTATTTGTTTGTTTGTGCATTTATTTATTTGTTTGTTTGTTTGTTTGTTTGTTATTTATTTATTTATTTATTTATTTAAACAAACTTGTATGCCACCCATCCTTTTAGAGGCAGGTGAGAGACATTCAATTATAATTCACTATAAAGCATTAAAATAATAAGGAACATAAATTTAACATTCAATTAAAATGATTGGTAGATTTTGATAAGATTTTTCTTCACGTTTATCTCCTATATGGAGAAAAGTGGAGCTGGTGGGTATTTCTTTGCATTAAGTAAGAATGAAGACAAATTCCAATTTAAGGTATGGGAAATAGTCCAATGGAGCGAGTATTAATGTTTCTGCTCCATCAAGTGGTTGTCACAAATGTCACCCAGTCCATAAAACCGGGAAGGAACTATATGCAAATATCAGATATGTTTCAGATCCTACCCCTGTCCTTGATCATCCTCTGGAGGATTATTTCCCAGTTCTGGCTGAAAATATATTAGCAAATACTATTAGTTATATTAATTAAAGAGATTATATAATGCTTTGAAAAAGAAGTTACATTTGGGGACACTCAATCCTGTAATAAAACCAATAGACTATGATTATTTTTGGCCTTTTGTAATGTTTCTAATTGGGAGTAGGAACCAATCTTTGGGTGGTTTTAGAATTAGCCATAAAAGTACTGTATAATAAAATATTTTATTTAGAAGTATTGAGGGTAGATGCATAAATTAGATATATCTTCTCTGTAATGTAAGTACAAGTATTTCATAGTTTTTGAAGATGTCATTCTGTAGTAGATAGCACATGATGAAGGAATTTTTTAGAACAGTTTCAACAACAAAATAGCAGGAAAAACTGCACAGATCTACTTGTGGTCTGGTTTACTATATCAGAAATAACTGTGATTTACAAGTTTGGACTCAATTCTGGCAGTTTCTATGCAGATTGTTAAGGTTATTCTTTTTTCTATCTCCCATGCTGTTAATCCATCTTTGCAGTTGGTAGTGTAATATACAAAGTGTTTTTCATATATAATGCTTCTATTGGTAATTATAAGAATAACACCATAGTATCCTAACTGTAGCATTTAAACCACAAAATACATTTAATACATTTAATAAATAAATCCAAAATACTGCCAAAATATTCAAGAAGGCAAAATCATTGTTTTTTTACTTTTTTCCTGCTTTTTATAAAAAGCATAAATGATATTAACTTTCTGTCCCCTCTATGGGAACAGTTCATGTGGTATTTTACAATTTGGAACTGTAATGGATTGTATTTAAGGAAATAAACTGAGTATGAATTGAAGACCTAGATGTGCTTTTTCTGTTCAAAGTATTGAAGATGGATAGGTCTTGGTAAAGGCATATTGCCTATATGAAAGAGTCATGAAAAGAAATTGCTGCTGTTGGGAAGGGACCTATTATCTACCACTCTAGTTTAATCAAAATAAGGACTAGGGGTGATGTGACAGTGTTCCAATATCCAAGGGGCTGCCAGAAAGAAGAGGGGTCAGTCTATCGTCCTGAAGGCAGGACAAAAAGCAATGGATGGAAACTAATCAAGGAGAGAAGCAACCTAGAACTAAGGAGCAATTTCTTGAATTAGAACTATTAGAACTATTAACTATTAACTGTTAAAACTATTAACCAATGGAACGACTTGCCTCCAGAAGTTGTGGGTGCTCAACATTGGAGGTTCTTAAAGAAGAGATTGGACAACCATTTGTCTGAAGTGGTGTAGGGTTTCCTGATTGAGCAAGAGGTTGGACTAGAAGACCTCCAAGGTCTGTTATTCCTTAACAGCTTTCTCCCTCAAAAAGACAATCGGGAAGAAGCTAGACGAAAGGATCTAGAATCCAGAGCCTCAGTATTATGTTAAAATTGACTTCATGACAGTTGCTGAATGTTAAAAAGCTTGCAGGGTATAAACTGCACAAGCAAAATTTTAAATGCATTCATTATATTTTCTTGTGTTTTTTTGTTATGTTATGAACCTATAATTGGGAACAGTTTGCTATTAAGATGGTGCAGAAATATTTTAAAATAGGCAATAAATGTAAAGGCAAAACAGTTTTAAGATAGAGCTTATTTGAAGCTGAAACATGTTCTTTAAACCCTGACCAGTGTTTTTATGATGTTGAACTTATGATTTGAAACTAACAGGTCAGTAAAAATACTTTATCTGATAATAAATCATCGCAAGCTTGGCTCTCTATCAGCCACTTCTGATTTCCTTGCTGTTATTTTGGAGCTGAACCATTGTTCTACTTTTGCTTTCTTTCAACAATAAGTGATTTTAAACAGAAACACATCATCTTAAACTAAACTATCTCATTATGTTCATGGAGGTTATTTTCCAAGGCAATAATTTATACTGACAGCTTCTCTTGTGTTTTAATTTACATTATAATCATATGGATAGTCATTGGTTCTAAATCTTGATATCCTGAATATATAGATTTATTAAATGTGTTCTGCATTAAACATCTGTGCATTTCATACATAGATGCCTGAGTTTTCCTTGCTCCCTCTTCTGTCTTTTAGGGTCTTTATGTCTTTGTGGTATATTTCATTTTACACAACCAACTCTGCTGCCCTGTGAAAGCCAGCTATACAGTTGAAATGAATGGAAATACTAGCTCGAGTTCTACATTTTTCACTCATGGAAGTGGAATGCCGTTGGCAGGGGAAGAAATCAGCAAGTCTACTCAAAATCTTATTGCTGCTATGGAAGAGGTACCTTCATTATTTTATCTTTACAAACAAATATCCTAACAGCTCATATAGTTTCCACATTGATTTTATTAATTAATAAGTTTTACCTCTTACATTTCAGTCAGGAGTTCAAGAGTGGCATCCAGCAAGCATTCTCGGATATATATATATTTTTCTCACAACCAGAACCCTGTGAGGTAAATTAGACAGGGAGAGATTAGCCAGCCCAAACTCACCAAGTGAGCTTCTGTGGATAAGGGTAGACTAGAATCTTTTTACATACAAGGTCAATTTCTGATCAAAAAGGACATTGAGAACATAAAATGCTTAGTAAAGCTCAACTGTAAATAATAAAAGATTTACAGTGCAACTCTGTAGATATTTCCTTTTTAAATAGTTCATAGTTGAATATTTGTATTCCTCAGAAAACTCACTGGATTCAGTGGATATTTCCCAAATTTTTCATTATAGATTGCAGTTATGTCCTCAATTGCTTGGTGGAGTAGCCCCCCCTCCTTGTAGTCAGTGGGGTTTGTATCCCAGCATGTAATATCAATATTAACAGTTGCACAAGAAAGAAGTTTAAATGACAATGCAAGGAACAACAGCACTTTTTCTTTTCTCATTTATAAGCCAACAAAAAAATCTCATTGGAAGAATGAGTTGGGCACTCTTGGGAGCTCTATTGTAGTGATGCCTTTACCCTTGCCAAATTTCATGCTGACTGTCATATGTACCTGAGCAATTAGTTTCTGTTTGATCTTAATCCACAGGTGAGGAGAATGAGCAAAACAAAGAAGGTGCCACCTTCTGCCTCCAGGCCATTTCAGGCTTTCTATAAACAGGTCATCGGATTTATCTAGAAAATAGAGCTGTAAAGCATCATATGCATATTATTTTCAGCAATTCTGCTCTGTTTCAAAATGCTACCTCCGTTCCATTTCAAAATTCAACCCATTCACACCCTATTACAATTGCCAGATTAAGTAATTTAAAAAGTACAGAAAGGGATCTAACTGTGAGTCAGCCAAAGGGAGTGAATATGCTCTTGATGGTGGAAAGTTGGATCTTAGAAAATATTCTAATGGCAAGTGGTCTATAAAATGATATACATAAAGCATCTGCACATTGCCATGTTGCCATAGCTCATTATGCTTAACTAACATTTTTGTTGCTGGAGCTCTTTGATCCAGACATCAAGATGCCAGTAACTGGAATCTTTTTTTTTTTTTGCAGCTGGGCACAAATAAGCTTTCAAAAATTATCCACTAAATTTGTTGGCAAAGTAGGTTGGAATAGGAAATTTCTCTAGCCATCTTCAGGAAAAGAAAAATTCTTCAATATTTTAACGTACTTGTTCCTTCTTGATGACAGTTGCCTCACTATTAAAAAAAAATGCAAAAGAATTCCTTAATTACAACCTTCCTTGAATTTAATTAAAGTTCTGGAAGCCAGAAAGATGATTACATCATGAGAGGCACAACATTCTCTCATGCATCTTGGCCACCTCATAATTAAAGAAGTATATGACCTTACCATGGCCTCTTATCTATCCCAAATCATCCCAAGAGTAAGAGTAATTCATCCTAGATCATATATGTACATTCATTTTTTGATATAATTTCTTATCAGTTTTTGTCTAATTCAATATACTACATTCAATATTTAAAATCAGTCTGTTTGCCCAACAAAGTCCAGATAAAAGTGGTTTGTAATTAAGAGTAATAAATCCATTCCCGAATCTTTCCCAGTCCTCCTAAGATAAATCAGTTTGTCACTTCTCCATGTCAGACTTCTTCTATTGCAAACAAATGCAGATTTGAAGTTCAAAGGGTTGTATGGAATCAACTTCAGTTCTACCTCTGTACATTCGATATCTCTTTGATCTTTGAATCTTTAAGATCCCCTTTCCAAATGGATCCATGTCCATCCAAAAGTCATCTTTGGGTCATTCCCGTTCAATTCCAGGTAGCAACCAGAAGATCTGAAAAATCAGCAGATTACCGGTAAGAGAGAAAAATCTCCTTACCATTCAGCAGCCATATTGGGGAGGAGCTCCTCTTGAGGAGGAGATCCAATTATTTAAAAATAATTCTATTACTAACCACTCCTTCTGATATAAGTAGTCATTATAGCAGAAAGCAAGACTTGCCCATCTTCTGAAAAGCCATTAAAGAGGACATGACACAAGCACAAGGTTATTGTTACAGAAAAGGGGCCTCTTCTTTCTCCACACTAATTACCATTCCTGAGGTGTTCAGAGATGCTGGAGGATCTTTGACTTTCACCTCAGTGGGCAATCAGTGTTGACTGAAATAGAACCAGTCTTCACATGTCCAGAGGGTCTCGGACTATAAGGCAGCACTGTAGTTGCTGCTACAGTATTGCTGACAACTCTGCCTCTTTTTCTTTGAACATCTGTTGTGGAGTTACAGAATCCAAAGTGGGATAAATACATAAATCCAAGGCCAGTTTGATATCAGTTATGCATTCCATATTTTCTATTTGTAGATCTACCAATTATTATTTCACAAAGAAAGTAACTTTCATCTTGTATATCTATCAAATTATTATTTTATCAAGAACAGCCTGTGTATCCCTAAAGGAATAGACTTAGAGAAACAGCCTTTCCTTGATAGTGGTATTTTTGGTAATATCAAACATTAGTCCCATTTAATTTGTGGGCCTGACCTAGCCATTAGGTAAAAGTATCATTAAAAGGTCAGAATTCTTATTTCTCAATATTGAACTGATTTTTACTGGGAAAGGAGAGAGTTTTGTGGAATTGTGTAACTTAGGATCCAGCATAATTTGACCAATTGGTATACAAAATGCATTTAGACAAGGAGGTGGGCATTTGCTACTTTACATCAGATAGCAAAATCTTTGTCCATCTCTTCTGTTTTGGCATTGGGAAATGCCATAATGCAAAAGGAAAAATCTGTTGCTCTAATTCCTTTGACTAAATGCATTGCTACGACCAGGATAATTTGGGGTCAGCCTATCGCATCTAAATTACGATAATATTTTCCTCAATTGCCACAATAAGTAAATAATGATGAAGGCATCATTTGCTGTTTGAGGGATTCCCTAGTCTAGCGAACCAATAACATCATTAGGAAGATAACACAGAGTGATTTTTTTGTGGCATTCTATATAAATAAACTGTACACTTAATGCTTTTCTAAAGATGCCAGCAGACTGGGAGAGGGCATCCCCAAGAACAGGCACCGAGGCCAGGGCTGTTTTTAAGCAAAGCCCACAGAATGGCAATGCCTACATAGCTGCTGGAGGATTTAGGAGCAGTTCTTTGATGGCAGATGAAGAATCACAAGAGTTTGATGATTTAATATTTGCTTTAAAAACTGGTAAGTACAATATATCCCCCTTTCTAAATAATCAGATGTGATTTTTTTGCAATTGTAAAAAAAAATTAACTGTTCATATCAAAGTAAAAAGTCTGTCTTGTGCTAAACTTAATATGTGTTTTATTTAAAGAACAAAAAAGGCAAATTTAATGAAAACACGTTTAGCCTATATCAGGAAAATAGAACGTGCTTTATTATTGTAAGTGTTTGAAATTTAGAATGAAAAAGTAAATATTATTCTTAAATGAGCCACAAGCTACTATTTAAGATATAGAAATGCTACATATATCCAATTTATATGGATCTAATTTCACATTTATATGGAAGCAATTGCAGATGAATCAGAAATATGGTCATGGACTGTGCAATTATGCCATCTTGCTGAGTTAGGCTCCTCATAGTTATTTGAAGAAGATTAACTATCGTCTAAGAACCAGATTAAGATTAATTCTAAGTAAAAGATGGAGAAAATCAGTCGCAGAGTGTGAAAGTATGTCAAAGAAGACACTGTTGGGATTTCTTGGACATCCAGAAAATGAAATTTATGGGTTTCTAGAAGAGTGGCAAGTCAGCATTCCACTCATCAGCTGTCTTGCACTTTAATTCCCAATCAAACATATGACCACTAATACTTTGGGAAGCTACATCACTTGCCAACTTCACAGCTGTCTTAATTTGAAGGGACAGGTTTTCAAGCTTACAAATACGAATATGACTACTGACTTCAAAAGAGCACTTGTATTTCTAGTTTATATACATCCTGGTTACACGTAGCAGAATACAAGCCAATCCTGATTATGTTTTGCATGGATCACTCAGTAGCGTAACATTTTCTCAGACTGATTTGTTTGGAACATTGATAATTGCACAGCAAGACATGGCAGCAAATGATACGACTGTAACACTGCTTAGAAAGGCATAAACTGACACAAATATATGTATGTGTGTTTACTGTGCGAAAAGGATAAGTGCCAAGTTATGTAACTTTTTAAAAAGTGCTAATTAAACTGGGGTCAAACTATGAGTGCCCTGAAGAAATATTTCTAAGTGCTTTGTGTCACATAGGCAGAAAGACTAGATTGGCTACCTAAATTCATCTTAAACTTGCTGTACAGGTACTGTGAGTTTCTTAGGCAAACAGGCACCTGGAAGACCTTTGAGCCATAATCTGCATTTGGTTTCATTGGTGTTCTTAGAGTAAATTCAGATAGGCCCTTGTTTATTCATGAAACTTTCACAGCTGAACTATAGTGTTTCATTCCCTTGTTAAACAAAAATAAATAAATAATTAAAATTATTTACTGTTTAAAGTAAATACTAAATGAAAGGAGAAACTCTCAGTTCTGCTAAAGTTACCAAAACGAAAATAACAGTTAATTGTTTATGCTTCCCATAAAAAAATCTTGTTGGGTGTGTGTAAACATGAAACAGTTGAGAAACTACCAATAATATAATACAGGTTTTTAAACATATAAAAAAGGCGTGATGAGATTTAATGTTCATTTACCCACTGTAGTTGTTGATACCACCACACTGATTTTGCAAGGCCAGAAGATTGTAAACGTACTTTAGATTTATAATTCCTGGTTAGACTGGAAAGCAATGTTAAACATACAGTATATATCTCAGCGTTTTCTTTTTTGACTGCAAGTTGGGCTCAATTGACAAAGACGCATGAGAGACCAACTTTAGCATTAGTGCTGAAAATGTGCAGACAATGTTTTCTCAAAAATCACAGTGTGAAGTCATTATACCATCTTACAGGGCCTCATTGTTTGAATTTGAGAACACGCTGCCCCTAAGAACTCTTAACTATTTTGTGGTAAACACTTCTAGATAAAAGCTTAACTGGTCTGTACATTTCTCTACCCTCAAACTATTTTTTGGAACCTATCTTGATTAACCCCTCTCACTGAGAGATTTTTAGAAGGCACCCAGATTTCATCATCATTATCTTCCATTTTAATCTTCCTGGGTCTTCAATCACCAATTCTTTTTTTTTCCTTCCCACTAAACAACTGTGAAGAAGGAAAGGATTGAAAAAAGGAACATTGCTTGCCTAATGATAGCTGTAGGAACCCATCTTGTAAAGCATATTTAAATCATTTGATTGGATGGAGAACATTGTAACTTGATCATGTCATCTGCTGTGTCATAGAATTAAAAAGAGAGAAATAATCCCTGTCCATATATAACAAAGCAACTTAATATGCCACATTTTCTGTCTTGTGTGTTTTATTAATTGCTAGTTTAAAAAAGTGGTAATATTCCTGCAAACATAGCAGATTCCAAATGCAGTGAGCCAGGTTTATTGCTGGTACAGCTCCTTTGAAACCTATGCATTTGCAGCAGCAATAATTTTGCCCAGTCCATTGAATATTTGCAGCCCTTGCTCATTTGTAGCTGGTTTTACTGGCAAGTGATGTCTGGAATTAATCTCTTTTGACATTACCATGTTTAATTATGCTTGCATGCACTTCTGCACTTCTGCCTAAATAGGATTTGCAAGTCTTGAAATGTCTAAGTAGGGGTTGGGCAGTTTTTAAATGTTTTATTTACTTGTCCTAAGACCAAAAGCACAGTATGTTCACTCAGGCAAAGCAATCAGTTGGTGTCACTAGAAGAGATAATGTGGGGGTGGGGAAAAGCAACTTCTCCACCTTCTTTTGTTCATGAAGAATTCAATCTATGATAAAAAAAATGTTTATTCCATCGTCCTAAAAAGCTATGCAAGAAGAACTGTACCTTTATGGAGAAAATATGGAGGCATTATACTGATAAACCTACTCATTTTGATTAATGTTGGTTCAAGAAATCTGCCCACCTAGTACAGGGTTAGGTCAGCTTTCTAAAGTAGCATAATTGTAAACTGTGATGTCATTGATGGAGGTCCTGTCCCTCATCATGTAGATGCTATTTTTGTGAGGAACTCCACTAGCAATTGGTGAGGTGCACGGGAAAAACCCAAAGAAGCAACCATCATGCTTAGTTTCTTTTCACACCTTGGAGATTTACGTGTATATTTAATAATGTATAGACTTTTAAAGACATACAATTTCATGAAAGTATACAAAAATGACTCTTAAGGGACATGAAGCATAGAGGTTACATGAAGAAATAGAATGCTGTGTGTGAGAGAGAGGGGGGGAGAGGGAGGGAGGGAGAGAGAGAGAGAGAGAGCATTCATATAAATTAAGACTGGAGTTTAGCTATACAATCTGAATGATGAGTAAAAAATATTAAAATATCTAACAGAATTCTGGAGATTTGCAAACCTTACCCCTAATATAGTCATCTTACGTCTTTAAATGTAATGAAGGCAATATTGCAGTAGTAAAATTAAATATGTAAATTCACAGTACTTAATGTGATATTTGTAACTGTGGTTTATGGATTAAAAATTCAGTAAGGTAAATTATAGTTAAGAAAGAATGATGATTCAGATGTGAACTAGAAACAATTTATTATGGCCTAAAATGCTTTAAATTGGAGGAATTTTCTGTATTAATTTTAACAAGAATTTAGCTTTTATAATCCAGCCACATAATTTTGATATAATTGAATTTTGTATAATATGTTACTAAATCCAGCCAGAATAATTAAACCACTAAGAATAGGAAAGCTGATATCATCACCAGAATCAGATAAGCGTATTCTGTGGAATATATGGTCTTGTTTTCAAATCTGAGGAAATATTCTGCTTTCCGTTTTGTGTTTCAGGTGCTGGTCTCAACATCAGTGACACTGAATCATGTCATGGCAGCCTGGATGGAAGTACAATAGCTAATTCCCAAATTGTTGAACTTAGAAGAATACCTATAGCAGATACTCATCTCTAATCTTTCATCTTGTTAACATGCTGTACTGCGTTCTGCTTTTTGTACACGTGTTTTCTTTGAACAACAATGAAAGAATCTCACTACATATAGGTCTGTAACAGAATGCTGTGAATTATATGATTAAAGAATTAACAAGTTTTGTTTTTTAAATGAAATAACCTTCTAATTTTTTTACAGTAAGCTATAAACAACTCATGTTTTAAGCCATTAATGTAGATGAATCTATTCTATCAAGTTAACTAATTTTTAAAATTAACTCCTATGTGTATTTCTGTTTTAATAAAAAAAAATATAATCAGTTTGATGGAGATGGTGTGTTTATTTATGTGTGCTTGACCAGGAAAGATTTGACGGTTATTAAGCTTCAATTTATTTTATTCCTATAGATATTTGCTTTGCTTTCTTTTTTTTCCTCTTTGCCCACAACAAAGTATTATTTTACTTTCCAAGCAAGAGCGAACATATTATAATCAGAAATTCACATGCAGCGATGTTAACCCCACATACAATTTGAAAACACATCTCCCAGTATGAACTAAGATGGGAGTAAAAAGTATAGTTTAGAACTCCAGGAGAGTACAGAGTTATTCTCAAGCTTCTTCATGGATCATAAATTGTGACAAGCAAGGCTGCTAAGCAAAGCCCCTGATCTAACTGCATTTCTCCATTGGTTAGAAATGGTTCTATATAGGAAAGTGTTTCTGCCCAATAGAGTTCAGAAATGCGATTGAACTGGCATACTTAAAATATGTTTATGTAGTAAATGATGACATAGAGTCAAGAATGAATGGTAATGAATGAATGTGTAGCAAATACTAAAGTGAGTAACTTACAAAAGAAGTGTTCTCAGGCACCTTGGTCACATAGAAAAAGATAGGTAATTAGAGTTAAATTGCAAAACAACTGTATGAAAAAAGAGTGGGAAAGATTCAGGGAAAAACCTAGAAAATGTGTCTGGATTGAGTTGATGAGATCATCAAACAACAAAAGGTCATATGTTTAAAGAGAAAAGGCAATATATGAATCACTATGCAGACAGGGTGGAAGCCAAGAGATTTTTATTAGAAGTTAAGGAGAAGTGCAATGAATGGCATTGATATAAACTAGGTTTAGTTAGTTTCCCTTTGCTTTTTTATTATATATGGCCTTTATTTTCTTTTGTTCACTGCTTTTCACACTTTGGGCACTTCCCCACAGACATGTTAACGCGTATTCCTCCCATCCTTGAGGCAGCAGAAAAGTAGGTCAACCTAATTTGCACTGCTCCCATGGCCGATCTTTAGATACACAATAAGGAGGCCAGGGAGTGGCATTGTCCTCACGCATGTAATAAGTGGGGATTGAGGACAACAATTGGTGAATGCCCTAATTTTCTTTCCTCTCCTATTCAGCCCCTAGATGCAAGAAAAATAACCACCAATTGCTCCTTGAATGGTGTGGTGGGGCATGGTTGGGAAGTGGGTAAAATCCCACACCTCCTAATCATTATCTTCATATGCCCTATTGAACATTCATCTGGATTTGGTGAAGGACGGGGGAACAGGTCTGTTGATCTGGGAGACTGATAATCTTATCACACGCGCACAAACACACACACACACACACACACCTGAAACAAACAAACCTTGGGTAGAACCATCAATCTCTTTCCAAATTGCAGTAATCACCTACAGAGTCTTCAAGAATAATTCTTTCTTTAAAGTTCAAGCCTTAACTTCCAGGGACTTTAGAGATCAATATTCCCATGTTAAGGAGGAACAAGCAACTGCCGACCTTCCAGTGGTGTTGGTAGTACTTTCCTCAAATGTCCTGCTTTAAAACTGTTGCCTGCTGGACCAAGAAAAGTTACCCTCTAATACTGGGATGCCAAACTGAAGGCCCAGGAGCCGGAGCCAGCCTGTGGGTGCTTAGATCTGGCCCATGGAGCCACCCTGGAAATAGTGAAGCGTGCTTCTGCCAGTGAAAAGGGAGGCCCTTCCACATGGCCCTCCTGACCTCTGTTTTCATGGGCAGAGGGTTTGAAAAGGCCGTCCCAGCCGAAAATGGAGTTCAGTAGCCTGTTTTCGCTGGCAGAACACTTTGGCCACCACAGCCCCAACATAAGTGACATCATCCTGGCCACACACACCCCTGCCCCCCCCCCAAGGTCAGACACAACCTTGATTCAGCCCTCCATGAAATCGAGTTTGACACCCTTGCTCTAATATGTTCTCCTACAGACCTAAAACCAAAGCGGCGAGGGCACATTTTAGAAAATCTGAAGCTGAACTATTCTGACCTCTTTCCTTGCAGGGCCCCCATTCCAGCTATTGTTCCTGATCTGCTTTTATTTTGAGTGTAGCTGTTACAACTACTTGCAGATCCTTCTATTCCTTTCCATTTTTCCCTCTTCTCCACTGCCACCATGATACACATCCTGAGACATTGGTATAAAACAGGTTGTCCTCGACTTACAACCACAATTGAACCTCAAATTTCTGTTGTTAAGTGAGGCATGTGTTAAGTGAGGTTTTCCCCCTGTTACGACCTTCCTTGCCAGAGTTGTTAAGTGAATCACTGCAGTTCTTAAGTTAGTCACACGATTGTTAAGTGAATCTGGCTTCCCCATTGACTTTGCCTGTCAGAAGGTCGCAAAAGGGGATTGCATAACTTTGTTACATAGCAGTGGTCATAAGTATGAACTAGTTGCCAAGCATCTGAATTTTGATCACATGATCATGGGGATGCTTTAAACTAGAAAACGGTCATAAGTCACTGTTGTACTGCTGTTGTAACTTTGAATGGTCACCAGACAAACTGTTGTAAGTCAAGGACTATTTGTGATGTTCTGCTGATTGCCCCATGCAAGAGAGAAGAGGGAGAAAGGCAGTATGTACCAATTGTTCTTTGGCATTGGCTGGCAAAGCTTTATCCAGATGTCAGGCCCTTACAAAGCTGTTTTAGCACTGTCATAGTGAGCCATGAATGAAGTGAGAATATTGCCTGTACAATCAGACAAGTATAGCAAGAACTTTGTGCCATAGTCAACGTAATACTGCTGATGTTCCTTGTCCTGTCATGTGTACAAGCAATGATCAGCCCTTGGGGCGGGGGTTGTAGGAGATAATGAAATCCGCTTGCGATTTGCAGGTACTTGAAAGTCCCTCTTCTGTATGAAATAGCTTCAATGACCTAGACCTAAAGGTACTTCTATGTAATCAGATTGAATTTGGCATTTGTCAATGTGTCTAGGGCTCCTCTGTCCCTTAAAAGACCTTTACACAAACTTTTGTTCTGGTGGAAAATTTTGACACAATCCAGTTCTCTTACTCAATAGCTATGGAAGGAACATTGGCCCAGATAGTTCAGTGGCCTGAAATTCATGCTACAACATGAACTCACCATTAATATTAACAAGAACGACAAACTCCGATATCATTTTCAGTCAAAACACAGAGAACAAACTGCTCTGATATTTTGTCATGGTGCACAATTGCTTTGGTTAAAAGATCATGAAGGCTTTGCCCCTGGTAGGAGTGTGTTGCTGCTTGTACTACACACTGGTAATTTTGCCCAAGATTAGCTGAATAGCTGGCAGTCAGCTTTTAATTTCTCTTGCCTCCTTAAATGAGTCGATCCATCAAGTAAAAATTGATTTCCTGCTATACTAAAATGCCATGAGCTGTTTAAAGACATAAAGAACAAAGAAAGAATTACATAACAACACTTCAAAATGTTGGGTCACGAACCTAACAGGGAAAAAATCCACAATAAAACATTGTCATATGAGTAGATTTAGTGGTACCTTCTGCTGCTGGCTTTCTCAAAAACAAATACTTCTCCTCCAAAGAATCCTCAGGGGATACTTTAAAATATATTTTATTAAATTTAATAAAAAAGTTTATTTCAGGTATGCATAACAAATAATCCAGAGAGTTGTATGTAGATCAAAGTCAACCAAATCACTGGAAATCTTGACTGTTTACAACACAATAGCTCAATACTGCTGTTCATATAATTGTTATACACACAGATTTCATCTACAATTTCCAAGTAAACAGGAGGCATTTGCAATACTTCTAGATTTCTAATCAAATACACAGATGAGGTAAAATTCAAAGTAGAAAATCATAAAACAGTGGCAATAAGGAGAAGCAGCTACAAGACCAGGAAGGACAAAGATGTTGATTCCAATTATTCATACATCTGTTTAGATCAAGGCTGTCAAACTCGTGGCCCATGGGCCGAAAATGGTAGCTCTGACTGTCAGCAGGGAGCGAACCGGTTTGCTCTGACTTTCAGCTGGGCCCACCTGTCCATCCCTGAGCTATACTCACCTATATTCCCTTTTCTGAAGCCCAGCTGATAGGTATGGGAAGGTGATTTCTCTGTAAACTGTGCACACACACACAACATGTGTCAGGCGCGTGTGCAAAGCGAACCAGTTGTTAAACTGATAGAATCACAGCCCTGTCACCCATTGGCCATGCCCACACCCGGTTTAGCCAACTGGGAAAAATTCCCTATACGTCAAGTGACACCACCATGACAATGCAAGTTTGACACCCCTGGTTTAGATCATTCAAACTCTTATTATTCCTTGAAAATAGCCATTCTGGCTGGAGGATGATGAGAGTTGATGATCAAAATATCTGGAAGGCATGCCATTACCTACCACTCTTTTGGTCATATATCCTTCATCATTTGAGACAGTCCAGATGTCTCTGAGTTCTTTTGCACACTTTTCCATCCACATCAATAATTAGGATCCCCTGCCTCCTATTGTATCTGTGGTCTCTATAATACCATGGGAAACAATGACATTTTCAGGTGCTTTTAAAGCTTTCGTGTTAGTCCATGGACACAATTTCCTTTGTCAAGGTGGCACTAGTGTGGAGTTGAATAAAACTCACACAAGGTACTTTTATGCAACTTGGGTGGACCTGAAGGACCACCACATCTTTAAGCTTTCTACTTGAGAACCAGAGCAAGAAGCTTTCATTCTGTATGTTTGATGGGGG